AAATTTTTAATATCTATTAAAGGCATTAGTATATGTCAGTACAGCATTCACACATGTAAACAATCCATTCATCGAAGAAAAAGTGTACCCACCTATAGCTGATTGGCATAAGATGATAGATGTGGCCGAGTCATTAGATGAGCATACTTTGAACATTTTTACAGCTAAGTAAGTTGCAAACGGGAATCATGATTACAAACTGAAAGTTAATTGTTGAATATATTAGTCACTTTTGAACTATTTCTTTATTGACGTCGTACTTGTAATGATATTTATATTCTTAATTCTGTATACACAAAATTATGTACAGATGTTTAGATTACGTTCCCAACACGTATACTTTTTCGAAAAACCTAGCAGAGAGTGTAATACAGGAATATTCTTCCTCCTTACCTTGCGCGATTGTAAGACCGTCCATGGGTACGTAGTCTTTCTTCTAAGTATTATATATAAAACAAAATTTTTGCTTTTTTTAACGTGTTATTGTGCGTATGCTAAATACTTGTATGTTCGTTATTTCGTGTTACATCAGTATCTCAAAATGAAGTATTCGATACAGTATAATTTCTTGTGAAATAAATGATGAGAACAGTAGACGTAGCAAAGAATAAATATATACATATTTTAAATTTTATTATATATTTTAGAAACGTATTTATTTTAATTTTTGCATTTATGTAATACGTAATACCTATAGTTAGTCAAATATATTGTTAAACCATATTAATGCTTATAATAGATTAATAAATTTGCTGATAATTGTTAAGAGAAATTACGCTGAACAAGAGTTGCAAATATATTTATAGGGCTTTAAGATTTTTCCTTTTATTATTTCGGTTAATAATGTATTGGCAGAAAATAGTTTAATAATATTAGAAGAATTATAAGTAGTAATCTAAGACTAATAGACAAATATTTTAGTGTATCCATCGCTAAAAGAACCAATGCCAGGATGGATAGACAACGTTTATGGGCCAATAGGACTTGCTATTGGTGGCGGAAAAGGAATAATACGAATAGGATATTGTAATAAATATACTGTTGAAGATACAGTACCAGTGGACATTGTCACTAAAGCTATATTAGTCGTCTCTTGGAAGCTTGGATTGACTAAGTATGACCGTCAACGTACACATATATGCATGCATTTATGATTTTATTAAATTACGAATATATAAAAGCTTTTTTTATTTGCACTACATCACAATTTATGTTTAGAATATCCTATATAAATCTTATTCAATCTATTTTGTTAAATTCAAAGAGGAATGTTTAGTTGTGTGCTAACGAGCCTATAAGTGCCTATAAGATGAATGCAGATATTCATACTAAATAATTATTCAAAGATATAACATTTACTCAGTATTATTATTTTTTACTATATATCGTCATTACATTTTTCTCTACTGTGCATTAAAATAATTAATTATATTGATCCTATTTCACTTATTATTAAAATAAAGAATTTTTTTAAAAATGTAATAAGTTTTATTACATATTTACATTATAAAAACATAATGATTCAATAATTTGCCAAAACATGTTAAATGATTAAAATTTGTTAATAATATTTTATATATTGCACAATTTATAATGTCATAAATTTTGTCTTAATTCTGAAACTTGATTCAGAACTTACAAAACTTTATGTAAATTATAAATATGTTATTAATTATATTTAATTTATTAATTAATTTATATTTTTGTTTACTTTTAGTTTTACAGCAGGTTTCACATTTGTTTTAAACTGTACAAGCCAAACACCTATGACACATCAAAACGTTATAAAGTTGTGTAGACCTATATTAACTGAAGTGCCTGTGGAAGGAATGGTCTGGACTACTAGCCAAACAATAACTGATAATTTTACTCTGTATTATATATTAACTATTTTATTGCATATCTTGCCAGCTATGTTAATAGATATGATTTTAAAATTCTCTGGACGTCGACCTATGTAAGTCAAAATCAAATACTTAACTAATTTAGAGAATGCAAATTATTCATACATTTGATTCAATCGATAAAATTTAGATACTCCGCAAATTGAAATAGTATAATACTTTCTGTATAGAAAAAAAAAAATTTCTTTAACCATAAATTAATCTTAAATATTTTGCCTATATTCTTTCTCTATATCTAACTTTCTCTCTTTATTTGTTTATCAGTTTTTTTTCTACATATAAATAAATAAAATTATTTTTTTAGAAAAAAAATTGTATATATAAATATATTTTTTGTAAAAAAATGTATCTAATAAATTTTTGTATTATTACGTTTTTCTTATTGCAAATTTTGAATCTATAGATTTAGTAGTATAGTTGACAATGTATCGTTATAACTGAATTGTTTTGAATTAATAAATAATGTGTAAATTAGTCTAGTACGACTGCAGAGAAAACTGTATGTGGTCAATCGAGCCTTGGGATATTATGGATGTAATGAATGGAAATTCAGCAATGTAAATAGTTTGACTCTGATGTCCTCAATATCACCTGATGACTGGAATATGTTTTCTTTCGATTATTCCAATTTTAATTCTAAGGAGTATTACAAGTAAGTATATTATATTTTTTATTCTAAATATCTA